ATCCAGCCTGCAACCCTAGCAAGCCCCACCGACTGGGAATTGAACTGCAATCTCCTGGATCCTAGGTTGATGCTCAACCACTGAGCCACGCAGGCTGAGCCTCCTGTTTTTGTATCACCCAAGAGGTAAGAAGGGTTTTTACTGTTTTGGAGGATTGCTAAAAAGGAAGAGGAGGAGGTCCCAGACAGAGGGGAGGAGAAGACATGCCTTAGAGAGTTTAGGTGGCTTACCAAACCTGAACTATTTATTACCTGATCCTTTACAAAAGAAGTTTGCTTCTCTTACCTAGACAGACAACTTCCCTACTGTTGTCTTTGCTTCCATCCTTGCCCCACTGCAATCACATTCCTTAATATACCTTGACTGTATTTTTTTAAAATGTAAATCAGATCAGTCAAAATAAAGCCCAAATACCTTACCACAGCCCAAAAAGCCACTGTGGTCTGGCCCCTGCTCTAATCTCAGTGATCGCTTCCTCCCACCACACCCACCATTCACGCTCCAGGCCTTCCAAACAGCTTAAACTCCTACATGCATCAGGGCCTTTGTACTTACTGTCTACCTGGAGTTCTCTTGCCCAGATCTTGTCCCATGGACTCTGGACCCTGCAGGCTGCTTCGCATCATTCAGGTCCCAACTCCAACATCACTCTCAGAGAGCCCACCCTGTGTAAGTAACCCTGTACCCAAGTTACTCTCTATCACATGATCTGGTTTTATTATCTATATAGCACTTGTCACTATTTGAGAGTTACTTATTTTCTTGTTATTATCACCCAGCCCCACTGGAATTTAAACTCTAAGAGAGCAAGGTCTTTGTTTTGTGCGTGATAGATCCCTGAGACCAGATACAATACATAGTGGGTGTTCAAAAAGTATTTGCTGAGTGAATGAATGAAATGATACAACATACTATAAACCACTTAGTACATCAACCTAGAGCTGTTGCTCAATAAATGCTAGTTCCTCTATCTACTATTTTAATTGCCATTTTTTATGTGGAGAAGCTGAGGTCCAAAGCTGTTAAGTGACTTACCTCAATCTATACTATGAATCAGTGTTAGTGCTGAGAATAGAAACGAGAGCGCTTAACTGCAGACTAGATTTCAGATATAATTGTCATTACATTTGCTAAAACACAATATTATTTAATCCCCACTCTACTAAGAAGTTTGAGATTCCAAGGTAGTCTTTTTCTACCCTCACTCATATTTATAATTCAACTTTTGTGGGTTTTAAGTGAATTTTAGCCTTTTAGAACATTTATGAAGATGTTAATAGTAATACAAAACTTGTAGCATCTACTAGTATCTCTTCTGAATTCATTTTCCTTGAAGAGCAAGATTTATCTTTCTCTCTAGGTTCCCATGGTGCTAAATTTTTATCCTCCTGGGTGGGAAACATGAACCTCAATACCAACTCTCCATGACAATTAATGACCTTCATCGATGTTGCCAAGGTAAACTATCAAGACCCTGCCTTATATACTACAATCTGTAAATACTGACTGCCAGGATCAAAGTTCTAATGATATATGTGAGCTGAGATCATTAAGGAGTCTGGATTTAACAAAAATTTTATTAGGAAGAACTTTAGAGATGATGCAGGCAAAAGACACAAAATGTGTCCCAAAATAATATGTTTCAGAAAATGTAAGAACCATCACTGGCATGTGTGGCTAAGTGGTTAGAACATTGGCCCAACCACTGAAGGGTCTCAGGTTTGATTCCTGGTCAAGGACACGTACCTGAGTTGCAGGTTCATCCCTGGCCTCCATTGGGTACCTGTGGGAGGCAACCAATAGGTGTGTCTCTCTCACATCAATGTTTCTCTCTCTCTTTCTCTCTCTCCCTTCCACTCTCTCTAAAAATCAGTGGAAANGTGTCTCTCTCACATCAATGTTTCTCTCTCTCCCTTCCACTCTCTCTAAAAATCAGTGGAAAAAATAGCCTCCAGGGAGGATTAACAACAACAACAAAAAGGACCATCACATGAACCATTACATGAATCATCACCACTACCCACATGCCTTGAGAGCAAAACAAAGTTGAAAGGAACAGGACGAAAAGGAGGCTTCGCCTCTGTCCTAAAAGCACTGTTTGCTCATGGAGAACACCAGCCCTAGAGCCCAGTGCAGAGAGAAAGTCCTGGAGTCCAGGAAGGCAGAATCCCAAGGCAGAATGAGTTGAGGAAAGAAATCCACTGGACCAGTTGAAGTAAAGGAACCAAGGGACAAAAAAGAAGAGCTGCAAAGATGGGACTCCAGGGGAGAAGGAAGTAGGGTCAGGAGGTAAGATGGGAACTGTTTACATTATGTCTGTAGCCACTTAGGCTACAAGGAAGAGACACAGCATTGAGAGAGAAAGGGGAAAATTGCCTAGTACTTTGTGAAGTACCCCCAAAGTTGAGGCCTTCCAAAGGAGAATTAATAGAGTCAAATGGCATCTACCCTCAAACACGTGGCTCAATTGCACTCTACACCTGGACACAGCTGTGCCTGAAGACGGTACACATGCAGATCCTCATAGAGCTTGAGATTATTTCAAAAGCGCTTGGAGACATTAAAGTTTGCTAGAACAGAGGACTTTTCTGTTGTTGGCCTTCACTCCTGGCTCTGAGAAAGTTTTGGGTTTCCTCTCCAATGCTTTATTTTTTCCTTGATAGGCCACAAAGCAGTATCTGGTGTCCAGCAGCCTCTGAGATCCATCAAAACTCATTCTCCAACAAAAACTCCATCTTGTGCGAGAGATGGGCCATACAGATGAAAAAGAGCACTATATGCCTTTGTCTTTATTATCTATATGAATTACCTCTGCACACTGGAATCCCCTGAGCAGCCTTAAAAAACTGCCAATGCCCAGGGCCCACCTAGGACCCAACCCAGACCACTGAAAACAGAATATCTGGGCATGTTCCATGGGAATAGCATATTTCAGTGGTTCCCTAACTTTGCTGTACATTGGAATCATCTAGGATTGTTAAAAAGTACTGATGCCAGAATGTTCCCCAGATTTTCTGATGTTCGTGGTATGGGGCACAACTAGAGCATCAGGATTTTTTAAATCTTGCCTGTGATCCAAGATGCATCCAGGATTGAAACCTAATGCTCCAACCTAACCCTTGCCCATTCCTATTTTAGCACCCAACCTTTCAACGCCTTTCAAGTGGCATGTGCTCAATAAATATTTCTCAGTTTGATTTACATTCCTGTTTCTCTTGCTGGAACTCTGCTGCCCTTTCTCCTAGAACCTGACAAGAAATTTGTCCTCTGGTAACTAGAGTACTTGGCTGTGTACTCTGCTGGCTGTGTTCTCAGCTCCAGTGTTAGCCGAGAGGAAGGAATGACTAGCAAGGGCTTCAGATGAGGAGGAAGCTCTCTCCACAGGCACATGAGGGAAACTTTTCTTGTCCCTTGCAGAAAGGCATTGTGGCACATGGACAGAGGAAGTATTAATAAGCTTTCTAAAGAGGTACTTCTCCAGGATTTGGTGTTTCACAGACCGCAACCAGTGCTGTCAGTTCTACAGATGGCCAACTTCTGCATTTTGGAGAGTGGCTTCCGAAGATAGATCAACTTGCATCCCTAAAGCAGAAGACACAGATACAGGGAAGGGAATCATCAGAGTCTCTAAGCCAGAGGTCAAAAGCAACTACCCAGATGTTGGTCAGGGACAGGAAAGACCAACCACCGAGCAGTCATTAGAGATAATCGACTCTTTGGAATGAAATTAAAGTGACAGCACTATAGCCTTATAATAACCAGGGCTTCATAGCAAACCCACATTGAGAGCCATGGACTAGGCATTCCACTGATGTGTGCTCTAGACAGTGGTCCTGGCTCTGCCCTGCTGCCCACTTACTGGCTGACTTTGAGCTGGAAATTGTGCTTTCTAGGTGTTAACATCTCCTTTGTAAAATGCAAACCCAAGGGCTGAGGGCAGAGCCTTTCTTTAACTTCTTACAAGCCTGCATCCTAGAAGAAGTGGGGAAGTCGCAAGTTTGCAAAGGTGCTAGCAGTGCATCATTACCAGCTGTGCTCCACCACCTCCTTCAGGGCCTGCTGCCTGGCTGGGGATATGGCAGTCACAGCTGAGCTGTCTGAAGGCTGTGACCTCCACAACGCAGTGTCTAATTGCAAAGACCTTTCCAGGGCAAATGGTGTGACTAGGATGAAAGCCTCTGTATTCGTTTCCTAGTGCTGCCCTTATAAATTAGCATGAACCTGATGGCTTAAAACAATAGAAATATATTTTGTCACAGTCTAGAGGCCAGAAATCTGAAATCAAGGTGCCAGCAGGGATATGCTTTATCCTAAGGCCCTGGGAGAGAATGTTTCCTTGCCTCTTCCAGCTTCTGGTAGCTCCAGGCACTCCTTGGCTTGCGGCTGCATAGCGCCAATCTCTGCCTCTGTCTTCAAGTGGACTTCTTTTCTCTCAGTCTCTCTCCTCTGTCTCCTATGAGGACACTTGTCATTGGGTTTAGGCTCCACCTGGATAATCTCAAAATCCTTAATTTACATATGCAAAGATTCTTTTTCCAAATAAGGTCACATTCACAGACAGGTTCCTGGGGTTAGGATTTCAACCTATCTTCTGTTGGGAACACAGTTCAACCCAATACAGCCTCCAAATAGAGAAGGGTGGAGGGATGTACAAAATCCTATCCATCCTTAACTCCCAAGTCAAATGACACTGATTAGGAGACACTGCCACTTTACGTCACCTAGATATTACCTCCACTGGGCCATCTGGTTATTCCCAAGTTGCCAACGTATTGTTCCCCTACTTCTAGATCACCTGCATCAGAATCCCCTAAGGATTGTGCTGAAAGTGTAAACTTCTGAGGCCCTTCAGGAGCCATGGGCTTCTTTGCAGACATGGCCAAGTCCAAAAATCACACCACACACCACCAGTCCGAAAATGGTGCAGAAACAGCATCAAGAAACCCTGATCGCAAAGATCTGACTCTCTTAAGGGGGTGGACCCCAAGTTCCTGAGGAGCATGTGCTTTGCCAAGAAGCACAAGAAGGGCCAGAAGAAGATGCAGGTCAACAACACCAAGGCCCTGAGCACATGTGCCGAGGCTGTGGAGGCCTTCGTAAAGCCCAAGGGGGTCAAACCCAAGATCCCAAAGAATGGCAGCCACAAGCCCAATCAAGTTGCTTACATCGTCCACCCCAAGCTTAGGAAAAGTGTCTGTGCCCACATCAGCAAGGGAGGGTCTCAGGCTCTGCCAGCCAAAGGCCAAGGCCAAGGCCAAGGCCAAGGTCCAAACAAAGACCCAGGCTGTGACTGCAGCTGTGTCTGCAGCTCTGGCTCCAGCTCTGGCTCTGGCTCCCAAAGGTGCCCAGGTCCCTACAAAGGCTCTGGTGTAGAGGCCTCTGTGTGCTAATGTGAGGATAGAAGAACTGGTGTGACCCCTGGGCTGCTGTCTGCATGCAGCTGATGTCCTCCTGTGCTATTTGTACAGATAAACCTGAGGCACTTTCTGTCAGTCAAAAAACAAACCCACAAATTTCTATGGTCCTTGCTCCAGCTCCTACCGCTGTCACTGCTGCCAGAGTTAGGCTCTCCAGGCATGGGGCCCTGGGGTGTGCATTTTAGGTCATCTTTCTGGAAAATTCTGATGCACCAGAGGTTTGGGAAGCCTCATGCCATGCTCTGAGTCCATGACCACTTCTCTGTTGTACCTCTAGATGTCTTCCATGTATTTAAGCTGATGAGAGGCAGCATGGTAGTGTGCGGCCGTGGAGTCAGAATGCCTGAGTTCTGCTACCCACCAAACTGTGACTCTAGGCTAGTTACATACACTCTCTGTGCCTCTGCTTCCTTGTGTAAATGAGAATAATTACGGTGCCTACCTCATAAAGTTATAGTTGGGATTAAATGAAATAAAACATACAAAACACTGAGAACAGTGTCTGGCAGGAAAAATAGGAATGCAAGTCAGTAAGTTTAATCTGTTATGAAATAGAACAGATTGGCAGTTGCTTATTTGTTCACTATATTCCTGGAACCCTCCCTCCCAGGAACATACCTTGATCTTTCCACCATCATCAGTTATTGCTATCTGCACATTTATTGAATACTTTTTTGTCTGACTACTGTGCTAAGTATGTGCTTTATCTCATTTTGCCCTCACAACAATGGTTTAAGGCAGGTGATATTATGATGTCCCGTTTTATGGATAAGAAAACAGGGTCAGACAGGTTAAGTAACTTGCCCCAAGTCCCTCAGGCAGTGAATGGTGAGGTGGGTCCTCCCCCCCACACTTCCACTCTCACCCCTCCCACCCCTGAAGGCATTCCCTGTACCCTTATCAGGCCCAGCCATCTCTGAACCAACTTCATAAACCTCCCCTTACACAGCTTCCCACATCAAGTTCCATTTTTTCTGAACCTTTCAAACCATGCTTTCCCATGCTTTGCCTTCTTGGCCTGGGAACCTCCAAGAAGATGTCCTCTTTTTAGAGGTGTTGAATCAAATCACATTTCTCTTCCATCTTCCTTGGGAGCTCCTTCAATCCTACATCTGCCCCCAGGGTCTTCTAAAGCCAAATCTCCTCCTCACACACAGTCACTCTGGTGGGTTTCTCCCACAACCCCCAGGTGGCCCTTGTGTTCACTGAGAGCCTACCTTCTTCTACCTTCAGGTCTGTAGCTTCTTCGGGTGGGGACACCTTTAGGCCTGGAGGCCAGAGAAGCCAACAACCAGCCAACCCTTACATGCTGCTCCCATCTTCCCCTAAGTCCCAGGTCTCTGGCCTGCTCCTAACCCTTCCCTCAGCCCCTGTTGGGGAGGGGCCTCTCACCCAGCGCCATTCTGCTGTCCACCATGGCACCTCATGTCCTGGCCCAGGCCATGAGACCACCACCAGGCACACAGGCCTTATCACTACACAAACACTTCCTCTTCCCCCCAGTACTGGTTCTCACACAATAGGTAATCAGGGTAAACTTCCTCTGACAATTTACTGAACAAACACTCACTGTGCCCCTGCCCTAGACTAAGGCCAGTGGGGAACCCAAACCTGGTCTCCACCTTGAGGAACCTTGAATGTGGTGGAGCTGAAGCATGGGAATGAGCATCCGATGCCCTGATGCTTTGTGGCCCAGCACGCCTGCTCTTTACTAACTGTCTGTACCTTGGAGCAAGTTACCCTTTCTGATCCTGAGTTTCAGTGGTTGTAAAATGGGAATAATGCTGCCTAGCTTGTTGTGAGGATTAACTAAGATAAGATCTGAAAAGGGCCTGGTAGAGCACCTGAGTTCCTGAGGGAGGGGAAGGAGGAGGGGGAGGATCTGCCAGAAGCTGGAGGAGGCTCCCTTAAGGTGGAAGAGGAATGTGGTTACAGGAGTGGCTTCCTCCAGGGACTGAATTCTGCCTTGAAAGCAAAATGCCATAAAGAATGGCTTCTCTCTCTATTCCTCACTCTTTCAGGGTCTAGGAGTAGGTGTGGTGCCACCTTTCAGGTATAAATTGAGTGATCCCTGCATATGACAGGGTCAACTAATCAGTTAGGGTGTAGAGGAACATAAATGTGGGGCGGTGGCCGTGGTTAGTCATAACATATCCATATGCAATAGCGAGAGAACATCACAGAATAAGTTGATTTCCTAGGTAAGCGCTAACTCTGTAGACACAGCCTACAAAGGAGAGATCACTGGAGGCCTGGAATAGTTGGGAAATTCCTCACTGTTGAGGAATCAGTATGCAAAACTACAGCAACCCAGGCAAAGCAGTCGGTGCATGTCAAGGCACAGGGGTAAAAGCAGTTCCCTCCCTCCACCCCTTCATCAAAACATGCAAGTAATGGCTGGCCGGTGTGGATCAGTAGGGTTGGGCATTGTCCTGTGCACCGAAAGGCCAGTGGTTCAATTCACAGTCAGGGCACATGCCCAGGTTGCAGCCCAATCCCAGGCAGGGGGCATGCAGGAGGCAGCCAACCTGCTGATGTTTCTCATTGATGTTTCTATCTCTCTTTCCCTCTCCTTCCTCTTTCTCTAGAATCAATAAAAACATATTTAAAAAACAACCATGCTAGGAAAAAGGGCAACCTTTCAACCTCCATGTTTGGTTCTTCCTTAATACTTTAGGGCTGATCTGTGCTCGGGCTTGAGTTTGCAGGAAACCTGGGGGAGGAAGAACAGAGGGGGCCAGAGGGGCTGGGCACTGGGAAAGGGCACTTAGGGGTGTGGGGAGACAGAATGATGGGCAAAGAGTAGCAAGAATTAGAGAGCTGGCTCAGGTACCCTCCAGACCTCAAAGGTGGTAACATGGGGAAAGTGAGGTGCTGACCATCCTTCCACTGAAGGAAGATTCTAGAAAAGGGCACCAGGAGGACACAGTGCAGTGGTGGACGGAGCCTGGGCTTTAGTGCGAGGACAACACAGTCTTCATGGGACCTCAGAAGGACCTTGGTGAAGTTACTTTACCAGGTCTCTAAATGAGAATAACAATATCTGTTTTATGGAGCTTTGGTGAGGACTGTGAATTACAGAACACAGAGCCTGCCAGAAAGTGGGTGATAAGTTCTCTTCCCCACTCTCAAGCTTCTAGGAATGCCTTAGAAATACAAGACTGACTATATTTAGTGCCCGGCTCCCTCCTCTGCCAACCCATGGTTAAATTAGAATTAAACTACTTATGCTGAAGCTTCTTCCACTTCTTGAATTCTCCGTGTAGACTGGGTGGGAGAGGACAGTCATCAATTCTCCTTATGGGTACTCCTTGCCGACTCTGAGCAGCACACGCAGCACCCCTGGGTACAAGAGCCTTTTAGAGGGCGCCCTTCAGGAATAGGGGGAAATCCCCAGTAGCCTGGCAATCCCTCTCCTATCCAGGGTTCCTGTTCTGGGCTCCTTCACTCCCCTTTGCTGAGGTTTGCCTTGGGTGTGGCAATGGGGATGAAGGGAGGGGTAACTTTAGTAGGAAAAGGAGAGCTGCTGGTTGGCCCCACTTGGGTGGGTGTGCAGGGAAGTGACCCAGAGGCTGACTTCAGCTCACTTGGAAAATGAAGGTTATAATAATAGTATGTCGGCCCCTGGAAAAGGTGTCAGGCAATAGCGAGAGCTTAGGTCCTGGAGAGTTCACCCAGACACACTGGTTCTCAGTTCTGATGCATATAAAACATCCCGGGGAGTTCTGTAAAAACTCCCATGAGCCTGGCCCCATCTGTGAGATTCTGATTCTCATGGCCTGTGGTGGCGGCTGTGGATCCTCGGAGTTTTGTTAACCGTGCCCCCAGGTGACTGCACTGTGCAGGTGGGAATGAGGACCAGCGTCCCCAGGCTCCTCTGTGCTTTCTAACTCCGGGAGTCCACATGTCCGGTACTTTGTGTGTGGGGGTCACAGAGACTTGCTTCCACCCTGGCTCCTTGCAGTCCACTCTGAGACGCTACAGTCGGAGCGATGCTTTTAAAACGTAAATCAGATCCCACCCTTTCCTCGCTTCAGCATCTCCAGCGTATCACATTTCAATCCCAAGTCCTCACCATGGCCAGCAGGGGCCCTCCAACCCCTCTCACCCCCACTCCTCCCGGCACTAGACCCCTTCTGCTCCTCAAGCGCACCACGCCGCTCCTGCCCTGGGGCTCTGCGCTTGCTTGTCCCCTGCCCAGGGCGCTCTCCTCCAGCCTGGTTGTGGCTGGCTCCTCATCCCCCGGGCCTCACAGCCCCTTTTCAGAGGAGCCTTTCCTCCCCTGCCTAGTCCACGTGGCGCTGCTCCCAGACGTGGTGCCTCCTTATCACATCACCAGGAATCCTCCCCTGCTAGAAAGCCAGATCCAGGGGAACAGGGAACCTGCCTGACTGGTTTACCGCAGTGCCAGCCCAAATGGGTCCTTAATAACTGTTTGTCCAACAAATGAGTGAATGTCTACATAGCATATGTGTATATACGAAAATCGTATGTTTTTATGTTCATGTACCTGTGTATAATATGATTTGAGGTCCGGCGTGGAAATGAACAGATGCTGTTAAGGGAGAGGGCATCGGAGTAGAACGGAAATGAACATGCTCGAGCACTGACTCAGTGCCAGGCACCATTCTAGGGCTTTTCAGACATTCGGTCCTCACGACAACCTACTGTTAACAAAATTCCAACGATCTATAGCCACCATGGTCCAACAGAATGAGAATCTTGGAGATGGGGCCAGCATTATTATCCCCACTCTACAGATAAAGAAACTGAGACCTAGAGAGGGGAAATAACTTGCTTGAAGTTAAACTATAAACAAGTACCAGAGCAGGATATAAACCCAGGTTTATTGAACTCCAAGGCTGCCCTGCTCATTGAATCATTCTGGAAGGAGAAATTATCTTAACTGTTTCTTCTCTCCACTATCAGGAAATAAAACAACCTCTGGTGAATGGGGCCCCAGACAGCAATGG